CTCTCAGTATCATTTACCACCCTAGTAGAGCTCCGATGACTTGCGCGACTTCCAGTACAGCTGCCGTTTGCTTCAATGGCAGCCAACTCTGCTCGCAGTTCGCTATTTTCAACCTCTTCCTGCAAAGCTGCCAACTGTCGTTCACGTTCGCGTTCCCGTGTGACGATGTCTAACTCACGTTCCAAGCGGCGGCGCAAAACCAGTGCTTCTGCAGCAGCCTTTTGTGCTTTAATAGTTGCGGAGGAATGCCTGGACCCACTTTTAGTGGATCTTATGCTATGAGCCGTAGCGCCCTCCACACCACCGATATTAGAGTCTGGGTTGACTTGTGGAACGTAACAACTTGGCGTAGGTTCAGATGACATGACTCTACTCTTACTACGGGTGATCATGAAAACTAAATGACGTGATAGCTACTAGAACGTAATGTAATATGAAAACGAATAAAATTATACTTACATGTAACTAGAAAATGGACTATGACAAATAGGTGCGCTGTAAATATAAGTAGGTAGAAGGACCAAATGAAACGGAGATAATGCTTTTGATATGCAATGAGAGGATTTTAGAATGGAAAACTACAGAAAAGTTGAGGAGACAGACTTTAGCAAAATATATTTTAACAATATGTAAAAACAATATGTCAAAAAAATATATAAATTTCGAATGACAATAAGAATATAAAAATGTAGCAAAGAGTTCGCTACATATATATATATATATATATATATATATATATATATATATATATATATATATATATATATATATTAGATATTAGTTATTCGATCACGTTTAAACATCTGAACCTATTTCAATAGCCTAGATTGACTGGATACCAAACTGTTCAGGATTCAAGTAAATAATGCTTTTCGTTCTTTTGGTATTACAGGCGTTTATAGGCTACGGTAACCGCTTACCATCAGGTGGGCCGTTTGCTTGTTTGCCACCTCAGTGGTATAAAAAAAAAAAAAGATAGATAAATTATTTATTCACCATTACAAGCGCATAATTAATGAAATTATAAAGGAAATAAAAAAAAATGTGATTTTATGTGCCTCTATGGTGGAAAGGCAACCAACTCAGCATGATGTTGCGGAGTACTGCGGTGTCTGGTACCGTCTAATACATGTCATAACTATACATTTAAATAATAATTTAACAGCCACTAAAGTTTACACAAATGTATAATATGTGTAGGACACACTTTGTAATGAAATGAAATGAAATGAAATGAAATGAAATTTATTGCGATGAATGTGGTAAGTTTAGGTAACATTATACATTTTGTGTAACCATGACATTCAGCCAGCTTGGCATGCAACATTTTATATGTATTATTAATAATCAACTATTAATTAGAAGTCATGTTACTAAAGCCACATTGAAGTTCAAATTATTATTGCAAAATTATACATGCATGTCATTATTTTTCAGTAGGTTACGTCCGTCATACATTTACAAATATGTAGGCAACTCTTTCTCGTATCGAGCTGTCCATTTATGGAACAAACTCCCTTCCCACATACAAGAGAGTCCCTCTATTACCTCTTTCAAGAAAAGGTTGAAATCACCTTTTCTTTCCCTTGAGTAATTTTTTATTTTTTTTTATTTTTCTAATTGAACTGTCAAATCTTAAAATCATTAAACGAAATTTCTAATGTAAGTAGTATATTCATTTATTTTAACATTTATTATATAAGTAGATAGGTATTGTATGTATTTATAGTGTATGTATTTATGTAATATTTTATTATATATTTTAATATTTTATTTAACTGTATATTTCTTTATGTATTAATAGTTATAGCACTTCAGCTGCCCGCTAACGAAATGCTTTCTCACTGTACTGGGTTGACTGGAAGAGATCTCTGTCAGAGATAAGTCCACCCTTGCTCCCAACATTTAGAAATAGATTATTTTATATGTAACATACAAGTGCAATAAAGAAATTTAAGCAGACAAAATCCGCGGATTACAGCTCATTTTAAATATACAAGACAATATCTGATAAACGTCTAATTTTATACAACACTATTCCCTAGATATGTTTCCCCTTTGAGATTTACTAGTACTACCTTACACAGCGACAATCCATTACCCTGTTGATGTGATGCAACCCAGACAAGAAACGGCGCAGTGTACAAGTACTCGATGCAAAAAGATTAAATAAAACCACCCCGCAGACTGTACGTGACGGCTTCACAGTACCCTGTGTAAAGACATTTTTCGTTCACTCCAGAATATCTAGGCTCGTTCTATTCAGCTAGACGTCTTTAATCTTCCAATCCCTTGTGCTCCGTCTGCATTGCTAATGTTCTACGTGATTTATTTTAAGGTATACGGATAGAGGTTTGTTCGAAGTTTTATATGTGAAACAATTAAAATCTAAACACGGAAAATGTTAAACCGAAAGATGAGGGGGGAAAGGGATTGTTAGTAATGGAGACTAAGAATCCCATTGCTAGCAATATACCCAATCAGGTCGACATCCTCGCGGTTCACCCTGGAAACTATCATGATTAATTCCAGATAAATTCATCATGATGGGCTAACTGGCCTGTTTTCATTCTCATCGATCACCCTTCACTGGTGCCCCGCCAGCGTATCCCATTAGCGCAGGCGGGGTTACCATTCCATTTTCATCCAATAGAAAAAAAAAACCGAAAGATGAGCAAACTAAAGTGACAATTGACTAGTTGTATAACTCGGAGATTGCTGTGATCTTGGTATAGAATAGGTCAATTCTTCCTTTCCCAAAGGAACTTAATGATCGAGGCATCGCTCGACTATTAAGAAATTGGTGTTTTAAGAAAAACTCTCAACAACACCAAAGCATAATTGCGGTTGCCAACATGCTTACCAAGCGTGGCCACTATTGACAGAATCCTATGGCCTATATTCAGCAGTGGACTGTTATATATCAGCTGTTAACTGCTAATATATCAATAAAAATGACTCGGAAAATCGATAACTTGGAAGAATTTATCATTAACAATAACGCAGTATTATCCTTACTAGATGACGCAACAAATTAAATTATGTTACAGGAAGTTAATAGATTCTGCTCATTTATTATTGTAAGGAATATTTCAATGCAATTCTTTTATTAATAGATAGATAGATAGATACTCTTTATTGTTTCCTCAAAAAGATTACAATAGTAAACTTATTATAAATATAAACAATTACAAGAAATAATCACAATGAGAAAACAACGGACGACCTTATCGCTAAGAGCGATCTCTTCCAGGCAACCTTTGGATGGAGAGGAGTAATCATAAATGTGAAAGTTTTTAATGATAGATGAATGGGTGTTTGTTAATCTTTCACGCAAAAAACTACTCAACGGATAGGAATGAAATTTAGTACACATATAGATTATATCCTAACTTTGCACATGGGATACTTTTCTCCATGAGGTAAGATCATGATAAATTGTGGTACCCTTCAATAGTAATAAAACAAAATTTTATGTACTGATCCACACGAGCGGAGCTACAGAACAATGCTAGTCTATAATAAATAGTCAGTTTCAGACATTACAGATGTTAATTATTTGTTTTTCTAATGATTTTTAAAATTCAACTATTTTCAATAGTCATAGCATTATTATTACGGGTACAGAGGAATAACACCTGAGTCCTCAGGAATGGCAACGTACGGGGGGTATCATGGGCGAAACAGTATACTCTGTTATGTCCATGGTACTGCACATGTCTATAGGCGACGGTTATTACTTTCCATCAGGTGGGCCGTCAACTTGTTTATCATTCTAAGTTGCATAAAAAAACATTGCAATTATAAGAATTCATCATTCCGCCTCTGCAATGATAAGTGATAGTTCCGGTCATTCAAGAAACTGCACTCCCATAGGTGATTGGTTCTTCAAATTAGGTAGATGGCTACATTGCTACTTCAGATAAAAACACAGTTTTGCGTACATTTACAACTGAAACAGGCCAGACAGTGGTCTCAATACAAGTATACAGATCAATCATGAAATTTTACAATTTACACAGATCAATAATTATGAAATACGTCGTTCTATTTATATTCATCATCATCATCATCATCATATCAGCTGTTAATTATCCGCTGCTGAACATAGACCTCTCTTATAAGGAGGTTTTGCCAGTAGCTACCACGCTTGTTAGGCGGGTTGAGAACCGCAGTAAGGCTTAGCTGATGTTTTAATAGGCCATAATTATAATGATGTTAGAACTTTTTGTATCATATTTTAAAAATTTTTAGTTAAATAATATCAGTGATTTAGATTTAATTCAATATTTTGATTCATTAATTTTTTTATAGACCAAAAGAAATTGTGGTACAAACGACGCACTTAAAGCTAAAAGTATCATTCTTTACCAGTCAATCTTTTGGAATGAACATTCAATAATCATATAAGAATAATAGTTTTTATCAAAATTTAATGTACCTTTATATAAATCACAAGATATTCCGAACACACTGAATCAAAATGGAGCAAACTACGACATAAACAATAATAAAATTAAAAATTCATAAACCCTTTTACTATAAAAAAAACACATTATAAATAGTTGATGTGGCTGCCATTAATATTATTAATATGGCTTCACGAAGCGAGAATCATAAAGTTGTACAAACGAGAGAGGCGGGATACTTTTTACCGCCCGGGCTCCCATAAAAACGCAAGCCCTGAATTAGCTCGATTCTTTGTCACCCCTTTTGAACAACCCTAAAATTTCTACTACCACCGTCTTTGTCTAACAATAACCACTACATTCCCATCCGTTAAACTGCATCAAGGAAAAACAACGTGAAACCGCCCGAGATGAAACGAGATGGAATAATATATATGCACTAGTAGAGGCGACAGAGAGCGGCATACGTAGTAGTAGCCATGGACGCAAGCTTCGCTGAGAGTGGAAAAGAGAGGGGAGCGGTGAGTGAGAGGGAAACAAAAATTAACTAACAGAGGGGAGAGGAATCGAGCTTCTTCAAGCGGGGTAGTTAGTACGCATTCGACCGCGCTCACGGCAGGGTCGCTCTCGGAAATCTTTCTACGGATAACGATTCGAGTTGTGATTTTTTTTTATGGTGATTCCTTCGATACTGACTTCGTTTTGTGTTATCGTATAATATTGTACAGACATGTTACACCGTCTCAAGAATCTTGGATCACCTGCTATTGGAATTGTAGAAAAAACTTTTTTCTATTGAATTATGTTAACGTGACGCAAGTGAAGACCGTTTGAAAATCGTAGAAGTTATTATGACCAATATTTTGCTACGATTCGGGTGTCGATTATGATAAGCGAGGAGCTTTGACCGAAAGTTGCAAAATCGAAGCAGGAATACCAAAGAAAATGTGTGCCAAAATGTTATCGTATAGTTTTTCCCTATTTTCTATCTTATTGTGGATTGGAGTGTCAGCAGAGGAGGAAGTGTCGTCTCCATTGCGAGTAGCACAATGCAGAGCCACTTGTTTGCAAAAGGTAAGCTATATCGCATCTGTGTTATCATTCATATTTTACAGATAATCTCTATCATTATTTAAGCCAGTCCATATTCATTAGATTAATAATATACTATTATTTTTGCTGTAAACAGCTTTTATTATTTATAAACACAATCAGTTGTTAAAAATATGGTCCTAGTAACTAAATAGTGTCATACGATTGATATAATGAAGTACTATCATATAATCACAACACAAAAATGAATATTTCATTACGTTGCCTACTATAAATAAAGAAAATTTACAATTCTGTATTGAACAGTGTAAACATTGTTCGAAATAAGTTCACTCGGAAACAAGAAAATTATCCGCAAAGATCTTGTAAACAAAATAAGCGACAGTTCTTGGAACTCTCGGCTTAAATGGAAACTGCGAAGATATTTTGACCAAACTTTTGTAATTGCCAAAACCAATTACGATGGTTGAATGTCAATTTTAATGACAATCTAGCATCAAAAGAAGTTAGTTAGAAACGAAGTTACCAAATACAAATTGTAAGAAGAAATTTTTCAAGTAATAGTGAACGAAGGCAGAAATACAAAAGCGGATACTACTAAGACATCTACTTACGTATTCAAGTTTCATATTTTTAAGGCTTATCTTGGAATGATTATAGCAAAAGAGATGCTTGTCTTACCAAACATGGCGTGTCTTGTAAACCCAAGTTTAAAGCATCCCTTTCCATACAAACTGACGCCCACGTGTTAACCATCATCTAATTTGTATCTCGTTCAAATAACTACATCTAGAATAGAATTAAGGTAAGCCTATTAATATTGTAAACTCTGATGTAATTAAAGCCCGAATATTGTTCGTAAATACAGAATTGGAATAATGGATGAATGTGCTTTGTTCGTTTGTGCCCCAATCAATCACTGGATCCCGCTCGAAAATTTAACCCATATTCCAACTCAACTGGACATTCAATGTATAATTGATATAGTGGATAGATTTTGTAACTAAAATATAATCTGTAAATATTTGTTTCATTTCATGTCCATAAAATAAACTTTTTAATGTTATTTGTAGGTATTTGTTTTATATATATATTTGTATTTATATATTTGTTAGTTTAGTGTTAAAAATTGTTATTTTATTAATATTCTTAAAACGAGTCGATGTAACCAGATTATCAAGTATATGAATTAAGTTTTCAGAAATGTCCATCATTTATATTTCAATTAAATTTACTCTAATACTTAGGCTATCAAGATAAAGCCTTTAATAGGTACCTTTATTATTAAAATTCTTTTAGTCGTTTAGCTAATACGAAAGATTAATGATACACTAATAAAACTCCACTACCTTTAATTTCACAATATATTGTAGTATAATTAAACGTATCTTTATACGATTGCAAACTGTTCACTTTCCTATTATGTGCATGGTAATTTTGACGATATAATTGTGTCAATACGTGTCATGCTACAGTAAAATGCGCATATTGTTTTAATTTTTTTTTATACAACTTAGAATGGCAAATAAGCTGACGGCCCACCTGATGGAAAGTAGTAACCGTCGCCTATAGACATTAGCAGTATCATAGACACGACAGAGTATACTGTTTCGCCCATGATACCCCCCATGCGTTGCCATTCCTGAGGACTCATGTTATTTCTCTGTACCCAGTAAATTAACGCCATATCCCACCACTCAAACCGAAACACAGCCATGCAAACACAACTGCTTCACGGTTGAAACACGAATGGTACAGAGTTACCCAAGCAATCGACTTTTGTACAAAGTCTCCCTCTATACTATCATAATCGTACTCGTACTAACACCAGCTATTGGGTTAAATTAAATGCCACAATAAATATATTGATCATTAATATTGAGCAATATTTACAGACGCAGTTTATCTAAACTGGTTATTTATTTGTTTCCATCGAGCAGGTTACCAGTTGGGTTATCGCCATCGGTCTGTATTCCCATAAATGTAATTTGTGTCGGCTATCCCTTTTAAATTGGAATTAACTTATTTGTTTCAGCTTACGGCTATGGATTAAACAATAAATTATTATTGTTTAGTAATGAATTCTCTTAGTTTAAATCCATATTGAGTATAGTATTGATATTGGATACAGTTTTGTAGATTCTTTTAATGTATTCTTTCTATGTTTATTAAATCATCTTAATATTTGATTGAAGTGAGTGATTTTATAGTGTTTTAAAATTTGGAAAAAAAAATTACGTTTTGTACTATTAAGTTTGATAAAATTCGTTTATTTATTTCAACGATCAATAACGTTTCGTTAAGGTATTTATTTCGGTAACTATCTCATTTGGAATTAATATCATAAATTGTAAAATTAAATTGTTTCTTTCCTCTTATCCTCTTAAAAGCACGGTAATGGCTTCCAAATTTAACATATAATTAATATGAAAATTGAAAAAGGACATAAGTTTTATAGCAGTCAGTATGTTCTGAGGGCATACCATCAAATGTTTTCCGAATTTCGGAGCCAAACGAAACAGAAATTTTATGTTAAAATTACATAATACATACCGTTTGGAAATATTAAAAATGTTAAAATATTGTTCCTTTGGACTTTTATGATAGGATGTATGACGAACGAAATGTTAAACTCCATTTATTGGTCTGATATTGGTATAAACAAAGACACGATTGAGTCCGAAATTTAGGAATTCATTACATTGTATTAGACTGTGATTTATGGTAGCATTTGATATATCATTATTTTAACCATTAGCTACATTTTTGTCCAATGTGACATCGAGTCTTTTGTATTCATATATATGACACTTTTCACGCTAAATACAAAGTCGTTTCAGTTATTAGTGCTGAGTAACTTTATGAACCACTTAAATCCTTTAAGCACCATTTCAATGGAACCATAAATCGGCAGCCGGAGCTCCCATATACCATGTGAAATCAAATTACTTGAAATACTCCCTTAATCGAGGCTTTTGTAGAAGTAAATTAATGCCCTTTGTATACGACTACACATCTACAGTAAATATTATTTACGTATGTTTGGATTTATTTTCGAGTAATTGTAGACTTTAAAATACAATAGAATTACAAAATACAATGTACTTTATGATAGTATTCTTAAATGTTGAAATAATAATAAAAAATGTAAAGTATAGATTTTTATTCCATAACCATAATAACGCATTAACTTTTAGCTACAAGTCTCTCATAAGAGAAAGATATAGCCTACTACTAGACTACGGGCCAAATGGCCAGGTATAAGTTTTTGCTTTAAGTTTTCTTTTGCTTGAACTACTAATTAGATTAAGTACCCTTTGTCGGCTCTATTATTATTATTATTTCATAAGCTTCTGCTTTTATAAACCTAATTCTTGAATAATGCAACTTTTGAAATATATTCATAATAGTGTATTTCACTGTTATTAATTTTTTTTTTTTACTATTATACTATTTATATAAATTTTACAATGCATTCAAATTAAAGGGACCTCTATTACCAATATTCAATACGTCTGTTTACATTCTCAGGTAAAAGATTATAAAAACCAGCACCCGTATCATGCACGTCATCTACATTTCCAAAATCGGCATCTGCTCTTAATCCGCGAAGCATATGGTGTGATCACGCATTGGCATTTTGTTATTTAGCTAATGCATTTTCTTCGTTGAACGTTTTTTAGTAGATTCTACCTGTGACAATGATTACAATGAGTCAGGCATTAGCTTTTTTCACGAGGATGTGCGTGACGTTTCGGGGGGCGGAAGGATAGCCGTTATCGACTGCTGCTTTGTTCGCATCATTAGGATGTCGTGAGGAAATGCGCCAAATTACGACGAGGTTCAGGTATAATCGATATTTTCTACCTGGAGGTGAGCAACCTTTTTTAATGTGACTATAATTACAGATTATGAAATCACTATTAAACCACTGCACTGCAAAAACTCTGAAGTGCTAGCAAAATTATTGCCGGAGGATATGGGCGTTTTTTATTGTAACAATTAATTTTAGGTGCAATTCTTTGTTTTGGGTTTTGCCTCACACTTATTATTCCATGAATATAAATTTCTCAATACTCATAAAATATGCCAGGTTGTTTCAACAGTAATTTAAAAAAATAACATAGAAGCAGTAAATCTTATTAAAATTTTACAAATTCAACTAATTTCAAAGTCCTCATTTAGGTTGACTTCCAAAAAAATGCAGACGCTTTGTAACCATTCTGTCGCCAGAAACTATACGTCTATTGTGTAAGGAACATGGACCTTTTTAAATGTATTGCCTTGTGCTTTTTCTGTTTCTCTTTAAACTTTTTTGATAGCTTTTTTGTGGGAAGCGTGCCTCCCTCGACGCAGGCATCGGTACACGTGATGAATTTTAAAAAGTACCTTAAGTGCCAAGATATAGATATGGTTATGACTACATTAAGCATGTAAGTTGGCTTGTCATGTAAATTTTATGTGTCCCCTTTATACGAATTTGTTCTGAGCGCTTTCTAGCTGTGTGTATTATCATTCAGAAAATTGTTATGGTATGCTTTTAGAATTTGAATTGTGTTGTTTTTTTAAATTATTTGTTTAAATCAGTTATAATGTGCCGTTTAATATTCTATTGCAGTTTGGTTAAGACTCTCTAAACCCATAATATTATCATAAGGAGTAAACTGTTCATACCCACATGTTAAATGTAGTGATTACTAACTATGTATGACAAATATATTATTTTCTTATTCTGTATTACATATATATAAAACTAATTATTATAATGTGAATTTGTGGGTTCAATTCAAAGTTTTATCAAACTTAAAACTGTTGTTCAAAATTTTTATAGCAAATAAATAATGTGAATATAAATATTGGTATACCATATCATAATTTTACCTGTAATTTGTGTCGTACGAATTTATTACCTATTCCCATGAATACATAAAAAGTGGGCATCCATCATTTTACACTTAAAACATTGGGCAAATGACCAATAGCCCTTTTATCATTTTAAAAATACCGTTACACTTTTACAT